TCCTTATCCTTCTCATGCCAGTTGTACCCATTAAAATACTAACATATTTTATAATGAGCTAGTATATCTATACCCGTGACGTATTCGATATGCCAAACACAGTAACAACAAAGTCTCCAATGGAGACGTTACTGGGCCCGCTAGAGCAAATCGATGCACAACAGGAGGACAGCTCACAGCTCACAGTATATCTATGTTCATTTAAATGAAAAAAATTGTTACTTTCATAAAACTAGCCAAGTTCTTTAAAAAGATCAATAAATCTTCTTTTTAAATTGTTAGTATTGTTGGGTGAGGTGGGATCATAAAGGTTTACACAAACCATTTCCCTAAGTTGTTCCTTATTGTTTTTATATTCCTAGCTTAAAGAAATTGATGCTGAATTTGTCGATGTTCCTTTAGGGATATGGCTTACACTGAGTATATACCAGTCTTGATCACTAAGAACTATACTTAAAGGAAATGCTTTAGAGACACAACAAAAATATTAATGGACTTTCATGGATTTTTAAATGAAAATCTTTTTTAATAAGTACATAATTCTTGATTACACTGCTTGATTGACATTTACACTTAGTCAACTATCATTTTTATTGTATGCAATAAAAATTATTTTATGATTTATAAAAAGAAAATAGTAAACCAAAAGAAACTTTTCTTAACCTACATAGAATGAAAAAAGATTTGAAGCAATAGATTCAAGTAGTAAAACCAAGGTACAGAATCTATTATAATACCTAAATCTACTTTTATCACTTAAGTGAGAAAGTCTGACTGTAACCATAAATATTAAATAAGCATAAACCAGATCCACAGAACTCCAATTAATTACTGCATGGCATTACCTTGTCTTACTCTAGCTATGCAATAATACCAACTGCCTATAATCGGAAGGATTTAGTAGACGTTTATTGATGGAAATCAGATGATTTCATCCACTGTGTCTGAATTACTTTGATATGCTTGAGCCCGAAGCAAAATAATGTAATAGAAAACAACATACATATGAGAGCCTCAATTTTTCTCTACATATGAATCTGTTGCTGATTTGAGAAGAATTAAATCTATGTCCAACCAGGTGAAGATGTTCCATACATCATCTTTCCCAATTCAATATAAAAATAATACTCTCCTTCCTAGTATGTTTATATACTGTTTCTGACTTTGTGACATTCTGGATATCAAGAGGTCCCAGAGACATGGAATCGTGCCTTAACAAATGTTAAGAGCAACACAAATGACCTGCATAACATTTTCTTAAAATAGTTTACTTTAAAGATCACCTTAAATCATAAGCTCCCAGAAATTACAACCAATAAACGAATGAGTAAGTGGTAAAGTAGGAATATGTTTTCCTTTTTCCCTACCAAACTCAGTATACTGTCATAGGGCTAAAATAGCCACCAGTTCTAGTTTGGGTTTCAAAAACTTTTCTGTCACTTTCTATTAAAATACTTCAAAAGGGGAGGAAACCTACAGATTCACAATACTGCCTTGTTATTGTCTACATTCTAGTCTGGGTTAGAGAGGGAGATTCTTTGGAACCAGGCAAGGAAAAGTGATGAGCACAAGGGGAGATTCAGAGAGTTTTAGAAGTGAGACAAAGTCTCTTCAGATAGAAATAAACTTAGGCAATATGACTCAAAGACTCCTAAAAATTGGCTTGATAGAGCAACAATTCACTTGATTAGAGATTATTAAAAACTATCCAACTGTTATCAGAGTGATAATTGGTCTAAGTACTTTTAATCTGGTTTTAGTACTATAATCCAACTGCTCTAAGTACTTGCAACGCATAGTGCATAATTTTTTAAGGCTATACATGAAATTTTCTGATGTAGACCATGCATTAGCTAGCAGCAACCATTAACATGAACACACATTTGTTTTAGCATTTTCAAGAAGTGGGGAGGAGAGAGAAGTGAGAACTGAAGCACTGGCGTGGGATTGGTAGAATTCCTTACCTCTTGACTTTCTCTTTCACTAATATCTTTTGGGAAGACAGGGTGTTCCCCAAGCAGTACCAGGAGGCCTGGGGGCCTTGCCAGGGATCTTCAGCCTGGCGGTTCAGTGTAAGAACCAGAGGATGCTATGCTGCTCAGCTTCTGCAGTGCAAGAAATTACCCAAGCTGCCCCAGGGCTGTGTGGGGATCTCCAGCTTCACATGGAATGGTGCTGGGGACCCTCGCAGATATACCTGAAGATGCAAGGGGGATCATGTGGTGCTAGAGTCAAACCAGAGTAAGCTACATGTACTCTCTCAATAGCCCTTGTATTATATCGCAATAAAAGGAGGACCTGAGATGCAGTTAAAGAATTTCCAAAGGGAAGAGAATGAGTATGGGAATTTGTTTAGAAGACAGGCTAAGGGCAAGTTACTCAACGCAATCACACCATCCTCCCCTAAGAACATGTTCGTTAAAAAGAATGTCAAGAGGTAAGGAATGCTATGAATCCCACTCAAATCTACAGAATTTCATTAAAAGCAAAGCTGAGTCAATCATTTAACAAAGAGCGAGGCTCCTCTTGAAGGTCTATTTGTGTAGCAAGCTTTATCATTATAGTTCATCAGAACTGAGAGTGTAGGTTGTGAGTGGCTTTAGAACAGAATGACGGATAAGTGTTTCAGGAAAGGGTTTAGCCTCCCACGCAGAAACTGTTGGTGCTATCTCTCTGTGATCTCACTTTCAAAATTCTATAAAGATTTTTATAAGCAGGGCCCAGTGGGTGTGAAGGGCAGGACACCCACCCTTAAATCACCCAACATCCTCGACATACACGATGATCCCACTTATTAGTTCAGAAAAACAGCTGATGACAAGTGAGCGACGCCTCCTCTGGACATTTAGATGACTGATTTTGTATCAATCAATATTTAGTGCCACAAAATGTCAGAAAATACCAAATGAGGAGAAAAGAATCAATAGATAACCTTGGAATTAAATGAGTGATGAATAATCTTTACCAACTAAAATAAATTAAACCATGAAAACCAAGTTAAAGTAACATCAAGGATCTGGCTTGAAACCACTATATATATATATATTAGATACAAGACTGTTCATATGCCAAACATGGCTGTTCATTTTCTTTTTCCAGGAAAGCAGAATGACAGGAGTTACACAAGAAGAGCCAAATTCATACTTTCTAACTTCTGTCTGAATGGCCATAATTTTTTAAGGCCACACACTCAATTTGCAGATGCAGACCATGTATTAACCTAGCAAACATACACAGTAACACACACTTTGTTTTTGCATTTTCAGGAAGTGGGGGGAAGAAATGAGAAGTCAAATTTGATGATTTGTTTAATGTACTTGATTAGAGATGTTAAATTACCTCTAAACTATAAATTTCTAGATTGATCAAACTGTATGTCAGAACTCAGTCAACTTTTTTTCTCATCTTACACAGGTAAGCATAGACAAGTTCATTCTTACCCCAAAATCAAAAACAAAAACAATGCATTTCTACAACTGAAACCAAAGCAAATGCCTTTCTTCATGCATGGAGATGAAAATTTTTATTTTCACATTGTTTTATTGCTCATGGGTATTATTACCTAATGTGTGCAATGGCATGAGGCTGTTTGAGTTTGAGGGAGGCAAGAGACATATCCATGCCCTGGGCATTCTGAGAGGGAAAAGTCAGAAACAGCAGATCATTTCAGCCACAAGTCAGATCTGAGCTATGGAGGAGAATGTGCTTGCATAAACCCAGGGTTCCATCCCACCACAGCCCTCTGCACCAGCCTAACTCAACTCCAATACTCTCATACTGTGATATCAATGGAGATAGTATCTTGATGACCCTGCCCCAACCTTCCAAATGAGACCAAGACTTGAGCTTCCTGAAATGGTTTCTACAGCAGAGCAGACCACAGCATCAAGAGTGACACATCCCCAAGCTCCAAAGAATCCTTTTTTTTCTCCAAAAACAAGTTTTCAAACTCAAATATCCATGGACATCTCTGACATACTAATGTGTACAACAGACAAACACTCCACTGCTAAGTTCCAGTCAATTCCTGGCATAAATCTGGAGACAAGAGTGTAGGCCCAAGATTCAATTCCAAAGTCCCTCTATAGAGGTTCACCAATCCTAGATCAGTAGAGCCATTAATTGACCCGTAAATGGCATGAAACAAAGACAAGTCCATTAGAGAACTGTCTTTCTTAAAGACTAAGGGGCAGGAGCCCACAGAAGCAAAGAGATTTTTTTAAAAGGTTACCACTTTTGAGAAATTTAAGGAATGGGAGGAGACTCTATTACTTGAGTTGAAAGGGTGTTGCTTGGCACCTTTTGATTTCTGCCCCATTGGAAGAAAGTTTCCAATATTTCCAATTTCAGTTCCAGGTTTCCAGGCACAGGTGACAGACTGCTCTCACTGATCAAGGAGGCAGAGGGTGTAGAAATCTGGACACCTCTTCCCCAAGGAGCACCCCATGCAGAACAGAGATAAAACACATTAGAAGCGCGTCTTCTCGTCTAAAGCTGTGGCTGCCTTAAAGCAACATCAGGAATCAGGATTCTGAATAGATGGAGAAACCAAAACAAGCCAAGACCAGGTTATGGAGGATTGTCAAAACACAGTCAATCCATCAGACAGATTTGAATGCTGTAAGATTCCCGGGCCCCACCCTTCCAGATGGAGGCAGGCTTGGAGGCAGGAGGCTGTTTACTAATTGCTATGTGCTTCAATCTTGGGGACACTTCTGCAAGCTAGTATCCTTCTCACTCCTTCCCAGATGATCAAAGCGAAGTGCAGCCAAGCTGACTAACTTTCCCAAGTTCTCTGAGCTTTAAAGGAGTAGCCCCTGGACCATGAGGGCGACTCCAGCGTCTGTTCTGTTAACCACGCTCCCTCCTATATTCGCTTCTTGGGCAGCCTCTGAGACAGCAGATGCTCTCCAGCTAGAACGCTCACCCTGGGGACTTGTCCCGGATGATGATAATATAAGGATCCACCCGAGACAAATGGAAGGGATGGATCCTGCCAGTGTACGGAGAAGGCATGTAAATGCTTGAAAGGACGTTGGCCGGCAAGCAGGGCCTGCAGCACAGACCCTGCTACACGAGGCTCTCCTCGATGCGCTGCTCCAAGAGGTATGCACCGAGTCATTTGTTTTTAACATGTACTAATGCCTTTTTTTCCTTCCAAAAAAGGGGGGGCAGGGGGAGAACCCACAGGCTCTCAAATATATAATGAACCGGTTAGAGCCAGTGCTCTGCTGCAAGTGTTATTTTTGGCTGTGTGTCCTGCTCCCCAGATTCCAAGGGTAGGGTGCTGAAGCTTGTTCTAGTAACACAGGCTGAGTGCTGTCCCCAAAGGACCCTGAGGAAAACAAGAGGAACTATCCCGCGGTCTTCAGCAGACAAGGAGGGTGAACATAAATAAACTCCCACTTAACGTTTTCTCCCCCAAAGAATCCATTCATTATCTTTATTTCCCACACAGTATTTATGAATTTCCCTTCAGCAGCGGGACCCATCCGGGCAAACGTCACGGCTTCATGGTAAAAGGCTGCATGCGTTTCCCTCTCCCGCTAGCAAGATGCAGCCCAATGAATAAGAGAAAGGGGGCCGTGGCCCCTAAATTTAGCTCCTCTTGCAACATCATGTCTCACGGGTATTAAAAATAGACCCAAATCACTTGAAGACTTTCTGAAAAAATCAAAGGCAGCCTAGCTTTCCAAGAGGAAGTTTAAATATTTTCTGCTTTCTTTGTAGTTGAGATCTGGATGGGGCGGGGAGCAAAAGCAGTCCAAGAGCCTCCCCACCTTTCTGAGAGGCTAAAACAGGGTGGTCTCCTGGCTTTTATAACATACTCTCTCTTACCTACTGTCACCTCCTCAGTTTGGGTTCTTTTGTGGGCTGGGTGTGAAGATAAATCTGGCCTGGCCCTTGGCCAAAAGTTCATAATAATCCATATAGAGAAAATCTCTATTAACAACCATTTATTCATCTGGAATTCAAATACTCACAAGATTCCTACCAGAGAAATCCACTCAGGTCCAATTCACAGAACAAATATGGGTTATTTCTGATGTGCCAGGCAGAGTGCCCAGCAGAGCAAAGGGTGCAGAGGCAAGCAAAGAATGGAATGTTCTTATCAAAGGGAGGACAGGTTATTCCACAAGTAAGCAGCTCTTCCTGAGAACCATCGACAACACAATTCAAAGAAGAGAAGAGACTTTTTGTTGGAAGGCATCAGAATGGGCAGCCTGTTGGAAGTGCATTCAAAACTGACAAGGGCAGGCAGTGAAAAAAAATAGAAAAAGAAAAGAAAAGGGAAAAAAAGCTGTGCCTAGGTGTAGAAGAGAGGCAAAAATCAGCTCACTGTAGTAACTCCTTGGAATAAGATAATCCTGGGAAAGCAAAAGGGGAAAGTCTTTTAGAACAAAAAAAAAAAAGGAATAACCAATTGGAGAGATCATAATGTGCTAAAGAAGGCAACCTCAAGAGAGAGAACTGGTCTTCACTGGTCTTAAGGAAAAAGCTTCTTATGGTAGGGGGACAAGGAACATAGTCTGGGGAACATGGGGAACACTATGACAATGGGAGAAAGAAGCAAACATTCTAGTGGAGGGTGTGTTGCTGGAAGGTTTTACACATGAAACCCTATGATTAGCAGTACTGTAAATCACAGTGCCTAAAATAAAGGATTTTATTGACATTGTTTTAAAAAAACACTCAATTTTCAGATTTCTTTGTTGCTCACACAACTTAAAAGAGAAAGAAGAGCCCACAGCCACCACCAGGATCCAACACCAAGATTTTGAAAATGGAAAACAGTAAGAAAAATTTTCAGGGGGCTCTTTTTCCATTTATGCCAGAGTCGCTCATCATACTTCAGAATTCTTCAAATAGAGTTTAATAAAAAAAAGTTGAGGGGCTTTCGCTAACCTGTGGAAAAGAGGAAAAAGACCTAGAGGAGGAGAATAGTGAGGAAACAGAAAGGGGGGACAAAGTGATGATATGAAGAATAGGGCATTTGCCTAGTATGAGACTGATGTGGGTTAGATCCCTGGCACCCCATATGGACCTCTGAACCCACCAGGAGTGATCCCTGAGCACAGAGCTAGGAGTAAGCCCTGAACATTGTTGGGTGTGGCCCCCCAAAATAGAAAGAGTGGAGAAATAAATGCATATAAAACAGTGCTGTATTTCTTAAATGTTCTTAAGTCTCACAAATCTCCTGAGACCATTTTAAATGCTGAGTCAGATCTTTTAGGTCTAGGTTGGGTCTGAAGCCTATAAACCCTCAGGTTAAATCTATGCCAAAGTCCAAAGACCATCCTGAATAGCAAGAGATTTGTTTTTCCTTAAATCTTATGAAGGACTGAGTCAATAAGCAGGGCTCTCCAAAGAATAGAAGGACCGAGGAGATGAACATGGACAAAAGGAATAACCAGACAAGATGTCAAAGCACTGCATGACCTCAGGGGCAGCTGGGTCAGATATGTGGACACAACGTTGTCCAAGGGAGAAATTTTCAGCAAAGCAGTGGCTGCATCACATGAAGCTCCAGTCTTTCTCATATGGGCCGTGATTCACACTCAGGCTAATAGAATTGTTGATGGCAAACATTTTGGAGAGTACTGCAGTAAAGGAATGTGCTCATAGCCATTAACTATGAAGTACTAACTCATTTCAGCAGCCTGACACAAATTATGCTCTGCACTTGAAAAATAGCTATTGATCAGACCCTTCTTCCTCATGCCTTCCAATACTCGAGATCAGCACTTGCATTCACCTCCCTGTTCCTACCGATGCCGTCATACCTAGTTAGAGCTTTCCCCGAACAACAACAAAATCCCTTGCAGTTTTACTTTTTTCTGAACTTTTTCTTTAAATGAAAGTCAGGAAAGCAAAAAACCCAAAAGCTTCCTATGAACTTCCCAATTTTTTTTATTTTCTCTACTCATTATAGCACAAATGCAACAAATCAACTGATCTATCATTTCCTGTTAGGAGATAAGAAACCAAGAGGGCATGGAAAGGACAGAATATAGAATTAGCCTTTAAAGAATTAGATCCGCTTCAGGGATGAAATGAATAGCAATTCTCTGAGCATCTTCAAGTAGCATCTTGAGTATCCATAAAGCAAAAAGGAAGCTTTCAATCTAGAATCATGAGTATATATTCTCATGAGCATCTTTCCTCTTTCTTAATCTCCAGGGGAAACAATGACGAAGGATGTAAACCTCCTATGGAATAACCAACCGTAAGGATGGATATATCTGGTTCTCCACCCCACCTCTATATCCATGCAATTTGCCATGTGACTACAAAGTCTATGTCCCCAACCCTTGAATCTTGGCTTGTTTGTCTCTTAGTTTTTCCAATTAAATATAGTGGATGTGATAGTGTGAGAGTGTGACTAAAAAAAAATGTTTGCCTTCTTTCTCTTCTCACTGTCTTCACCAAGAGAACAATGTAGGTGAACCTAAAACCACTTAAGAAGAGTCAAGTTCTTCTCCAATCTGCCATGCCTCAGATGCTTGCTGGATAGAGAGCAATCACAAAGTATACCGCCCCAGCCTGGTAGAAACCAGCAGAACTGTGGCATCTTCACCCTTGGACTCATTAGAAACAATAAAGAGTATAGTTGTTTCATGTCACTATTTTAATGTACTTTGTGATTCAATAATAATAGATTGATAAATGATAAAACTTTCTTTGAAACAAGAATAGTTTAGATATACAGGTAATTTCAAAAAGACACACTTTAAAAAATTTATGAAGGGGCTGGAACGATAGCACAGCGGGTAGGGCGTTTGCCTTGCACGCAGCCAACATGACCGACACAGGTTCGATTCCCAGCACCCCACATGGTCCCCTGAGCACCACCAGGAGCAATTCCTGAGTGCATGAGCCAGGAGTAACCCCTGAGCATCGCCGGGTGTGACCCAAAAAGCAAAAAAAAATTATGAAGACAAAAGATTGTGATAACATAATTGCTTAATTTATAAGACAAAAATTAGGAAATTCAATAATAAAAATACATCTGCATATTCATATCATTTTAAATGGGTTTAAAATAGTCTATTAACAGACTACATATTTATATGCATATATATATATAAACTTGCACAGATTTTTTTAACTTCTCTAGAGGAGATTCAATTGGTTTTTGCTTCTTTTGTTCATTCATTTTTGAGGAATATGACAGAGTTGTGAGTTGATGTGGTGACTCTGAAGATAAATATCCCATTAGTCTCTGGTTTCAAATAACTTCCAACTAGTTGACAAAGGGCATTCATTCTTAAGGGATTGCAGGAAACATATCTTTCTACTATCGCTACCATTTTAAATCTACTCATCTTGCCAGTTCCCGATGAAAGGTCCTTTCTCTTTCATATCTTCCCTTATGCCACCCATATTTTTGCTTTCCCTAGTCATAAGTAAACTTTCTAAACTTTAAAAACACATGATGGGAGCGAAAGAGTAAGTTCTGTCAATGATTCACATCATCAAATTCAAGGTTTAAGAAAGAAGGGTTCTATCAAACAGATCATAAACAGTCTTGAAAATGGGTTCATGATTTGGTATTGGAATATATAAGCAATGGCTGCTATCAAAGGCTTCTGAGAAAGGAAGTGACATAACCAAAGTTATCATTTGAGAACCACTGCTTGTTATACCCTTACTGGAACTATACAGGAGTCTCCAGAAAGGAAATTTCACCAAGGTTGAGGTGATGAGTTGCAAATATTGCACAGAGGTAAAACATAATGAAAAATCCTTTGAGTATGCCAAGAAGATAATCTCTGGTGAAGCCAACTTTTTAATTATTACTTATTTTTTTGGGGGGGGTAAAGGAAAGCACTGTCTGCAGCACTGTCCTCCCATTGTTCATTGATTTGCTCGAGCGGGCACCAGTAATGTCTCACAAAAAATTGTGAAACTTGTTATTGTTTTTGGCATATTGAATACGTCGCTGGTAGCTTGCCAGGCTTTGCCTTGTGGGCGAGATAATCTCCGTAGCTTGCCGGGCTCTCAGAGAGGGGTGGAGGAACCAAACCTGGGTTGGCTGCATGTAAGGCAAATGCCCTACCTGCTGTTTTATCACTCCAGCCCCAAACAAAACAGTATGAAACCAAAAAAGTACTAGTTATTAAAACATATTGCTAAGAAATTATCTAATTTTGAAAATAAAAAGTATAACTCATGGTATTTAAGAAAAGTCCAGGGGCCCAAGAGATAGTACAAGTAGGGTGCTTGCAGGTAGGGTGCTTGCTTTGCACATGGTGAACCCAGGCCTCATCCCCAGCATTCCATATGGCCCCCAAGTCTGCCAGGAGCGATATCTGAGTGCGGAGCCAGGAGTAACCCCTGAGCAACACCAGGTATGACCCAAAAAACAAAAATAAAAAAAAGAGAATTAAAAGAAAAGTACATACCATACATTGAACAAAGAGGAACAGAAAGGCAAGCAATCTGTATAGGAATCAAGACAACAGAGTGGATTAAGAGAGAAAAAAAAATCCTCCCTAAATCAGTAGCAGTTCTTATAGGGAAGCACAAATTATGTGTAGAAAATTAATGATTATTTTTATTAGTTGCATAACCTAAAACCAAGAAATTTTGTAGTCTATCTTTTAAAAAGAGCATAGAGTTGCCACTGATATATGCGTTTCTTGAGACAAGGGGCAAAGTTCCCATTTATAGGAAATGTTCTTTTTTTCCACACAGTAAAACTGAGAAAAATTATATCAGATGAGAAACTGTTTAATCTCCTTAAATACCTCAATAATGTAATACTTGGGAAATGTAATTTTTCAACTCAGACTTGAAAGGTTATTATTACTAAACACACAAGGAAAACCTCAACCAAATATAAAAGGTGAGATATCCAAACTACCATTTCCCACCCCAATGTTTCTAAGGAAGAAGGAAGTTTGACAGTCTAAAAAGAGAATTTGCGAATGTGGTATGTTGGAGGGAAATGTGAGTTAGCTCTGTTGATAAATTGCTTTATGTGGTCTAAAAGGCCCAGTAAAACTAGTGCTTCTCAGAGATGCCTCACAGGCTGACACAGGGCAAGAATTGGAGGTTGAAGTCTCAGGAAGCATAAGTAAGGAGAAAGAATCTAGACTCCTAACTCTCACTTCAACAAGTTTTAATCTCATTTATCTTCCTTATGTGCTGGGCATCCATGCCAGATTCTATCTTAAAAAAAATGGGGTTTCTTCTATTGATTTAAAAAATAATAGCAAATTGAAAACCATTCAACAAGATTATCCCAAGGATCTGCTTTAGCTCTAAGGTAAAAATGTTCTATTTATTATCTTCTAAATCTTAAAATAAGGAGAAAATCAGGAAGTGAGCACCTAACATCTCTTGAGTGTGTTACAGGTCAGGCAATGTGCTGTAGGCTCTCCCTGGATCTGCTCATTTCATTCATTCTCTGAAGGAGGAAGCATTATCCTCATACTGCATGTACAGAATTGAAGTTCAGAGAGATCAAATAATTTCCCTGCCATCTCAATGCTGACTCCAGCACCTGGTCTCTTGACCAGTGAGTTACAGTTACGTGGCCAGACACTCTTAGTGAAGATGGAGATTCATCATGGAAGTCTCAGGGTTGCTAAAATTAGGATTCCCGGAGGAACTAAAGGGGTGACTTTGGCCAAAATATACTACTAAACTAGGAATAATGGGATATTTTCAGAGAAACTTATCGGAAGCATAGGGGAGAAAGAACTGAAATTGCTGAAGAGATAATAAGGGTTGGTCAAACTGTAGAGCCAACAAATATGGGTGAAAATCCTGATTCTGAAGCTGTAAAATAATTCACACATACAAATACACACACACACACACACACACACAGACCTGCTCCCCTAAATGTCATATCTGCTATTCAGATTCTTGACTGTTGTTTGAAACATATTTTTAATTCAGGGAGTCCAAACATTTCAGTAAATCTTAATTATTAAAATATAGTCCTAGCAAGGTTTTGTCTAGTCTGCCCCCTTTGTAGTTGTACCTCTCACCATATCCTTTCCTTTTTCCCTTAATTATTTCTCCAGAGCACCGAACATTGGTTTATAACACTCGGTACTTTACTCATTCATTTGCATATCACCATCATCTATCTCTCCCCAACAGGAACTAGTTCCCTGGGCAAGGGTGGAAAGGAATATATTGTGGTTTCCGGGGCTGTTCCCCTTGATATCCCTACACCTGTCCATAATGCCTGGATTCTAGGAGGCTCTCGGGCACCCAGTAAATATTTGTTGAGCAAATGAATGCTACTTTCTCGTGACATTTACGGGATGAGCATTTCTATCTATTCATCCCCATCCCACCTCTGGCATCTGAAACGTTAGAGTCCCCGTCAATTACAAGTCTATTTAGCATTTATATGGCACTTCATATTTAAAACTCACTGTTCAATTATTGATCCTCACATCGACCTTGAAAATAGATTATGAGGGGTAGCAGAATAGAGAGCCCAGGGAAGGAGAAGTCTCTTCTCTTCTCCTTCCCTGGCACCCTCACGAAGGTGAGCCTCCTTGGGAGAGAGGAGCAAGGGAAGAGGGATGGAGGCTAGGCTCATGGAGGCCCTGGTGTTCGTATTTAATGCACAAACACTCCTTGGCCTCCCTCACAGGTGTGGCACCAAGCCACGGGCCCTCCCAGCTGCTGCAGAAAAGTTCAGCCTCCCCACAGAGCAGGAGGGGAAGGAAGAAGCTGCAGGAGCTTTGGGGAGGTGAGCCAGGAGGGGTGGGGAGACGCCCAGCTCCCAGCTCCCAGCAGGTGGTTACAGCTCTGCCTCCTGCTCAGGTGGCCAGGAAACACTGGCCAGGCTGTGCTTCCTTCCACATCAGCCTAGAGCTCTGCTGTTTCCCACAGCAATTCCGGTTTGGGTTCATAGACCTGAACACCAGGGCCCCCACCTAGCCCATTTGGTCTGCCCTCCCATTTTGAGCATGTAACTTAGCCTCTGACGGGGAAACGAAAGGATCAAACTGAGTGTGGAGATGAAGCAGGTGGAGGACAATCCACCCTGGATTTCCTCTACAGAGCAGTACACCTTACTTCCCTTCTCAACTGCTCGACCCTGTCGCTTTGACAAAAAGGCTGACTAAGAGCAGGCTCAGAAACATCATCAAGTGGCCTGAACTGCTGGTGGTAAATAGACACCTATTTAAGTCACAGACTATGTTTTGAATGGGACTTAAAATCGCAGCTTCTGATATACTCAGTCTTTCCCCAGATAAGCTGCAAGCATCAGCAAATCCTTAAGAAATACCTCAACAGAGAAGAAGGGTCAGGTATGGGTCCAGACAGGTGTTCTGGATAGAGCAATGAACATAAGTAATTGCTAGAGGAATGTGGTTCAGTAATAGGGTATAGGGCTTGTATCTTTGAAGCCCTGGGTTTGATCCCCAATGGTGAAAAACCAAAATGAAACAAAGAGAGGAACAGTTTCACGAAGTTGCTACAATAATATTGGCCATTTCTGAAAAATTCCTAGTATACAAAGGATAAATAAAACAAACAAACACTGTTCATGGTAGAGAAAAAGGGACAAACACTCGGCGGGCACA